TTTTTATTGATTTCAGAGAAGAAGGGAGAAAGAGGGAGAATTAGAAACATCAATGATGAGAGAAAATCATTGATTAGCTGCCTCTTGCATACACCACACTGGGGATTGAGCCAGCAACCCAGGCATGTGTCGTGACCAGGAATCGAACCGTGACCTCCTGGTTCACACAATTTATATACAAATCCAAAAGATGTTTTAAATCATAATGCAGAAGATTTTATCTTGCCATGAAATATTTTCTGTATTAGATGCAGTAAAACAGTTAAATTTAAACCTATATTTACAAAACACATTTAGTCATTTAATTAGACGTTATGTATTATGTCACTTTGATTTTACATTTTTGGACTAGTAAATATTCCTAAATTCTCCCCCATTTTCCTCTACCCCTTCCAACTACTAAACTATAGCAAGGTTTCCTCTTATGAGGCTGAAGGCTGTAATGTACACCTCCCCACATACTCTTATTTTAATATATTTGTTTTGAAGATTCCTTCTTTCACTTAAAATATGCATAATTATTTTTCTATGTACTTAAATATTTTTATGGAGCATGCTTTTGAATCAGTTCACAAAGTATCAAATTATTTTATGTCTCCTATTGTTAGATATTTAGATTTTAATTTTTCCCATGTTTTAAATAATCTATGATGCTTGCAACCATTTAAAAAAATATATATTTTTATTGATTTCAGAGAAGAAGGGAGAGGGAGAGAGAGATTGAAACATCAATGATGAGAGAGAATCATTGATTGGCTGTCTCCTGACCTCCCCCCTGCTCCCGACTGGGGATCAAGCCTGCAACTGGGCATGTGCCCTTGACAAGAATCAAACCCGGGACCCTTCAGTTCCCACACTGACGCTCTATCCACTGAGCCAAACCGGCCAGGGCTCTTGCAGCCATTTGTGATACAAATAATGTACTAGGAGAAAATTATGTTGGAAAATGAAAATACAAGAATTGAGGGTAGAAAACTTTCTAGAAAGGAAGTATATAGGATGATGTGGGGAGCAGCAGAGGACTGGTCACCAACTCAGCTGGCTGCTTTTCCTGTCATCTCCATTCATCTAACTGATGGAAATTTAGTCACACATGTTGTGATTCCTTTACAGGCCTTCCTTCAATCCCAGACTTATAAAAATAACTACTGGATTGGATTGTCATTTAATGAAAAGGAAAGTAAATGGGAATGGATTGACAAGGGCACACCTGGAATGTAAGTCTCTGAAATGCATCCAAGCTATAATATCGGTGTTGGGGTTGGGAGTATTGTTTCTAAAAAGTGTCTTCTCTCATTTCACACAGCTTAACTCATTTTCAAGTAGAGGTTATTGATAAGAATAAGCAGAATGACTAAGAAAGTGTTTTAAGAAGTACAGTTAAAAAAAGAGAGAAGTATCATGCAGTTATTAATAATAAAATTATGATGCTAAACACATGCTCAGAAAATTATGTTATGAGGTGCACAGGATTTTAAAAATCATAAAGTGACATGAAATGATTGGATCATCCTGATTTAGCCATAGTGATCCCTCCCATAACCGCAAATGAATATTTTGAGTATCTCCAAAATTCATTTGAAACTTTTTTTTAGTTTACATATCTATGCGTATATATTATTTATAAAATATAAATTTAAGCTATTATATACACACACAGACACCTTCCCCATAGTCCTATTTAGAAGTGCAGCATTTTGTAAACTCTTGGGTTTACATTAAGATATAATCTGCTGTCAAACTGTTCAATGATTTTAAAAAAATTATAACTATTATATTTTTGTTTCTAGAAATTCTGTTTTATGTTTTATTTTTTTAATTAAATTCTTTGTTGTTGAAAATATTACACATGTCTCCTTTCCCCCCCATTGACCTCTCCCTACCCACTCCCACCCTCCCGCACAGGCCCTCAACCCTACTGTCTGTGTCCATTGGTTATGCTTATAACTGTTTTATGTTTTCCAATCTCCTTGCTAGTTACTCATATTTTCAAGCTGTTGTTTATTTCTTTAATGATAGTAAACATCTTATTTTATCCTTGATATGTGATCATTCTAATATTTGAAGTTTTATGGGACTAATCTATTGTTTCTGCTGGTTGCCGTTCATAATGCCATTTTCTTTGTAGTGTTTAGTGATAGTTTTTTTTCCATTTTGAATTGTTATGGAAATTATTTGAGAACTGAGAAGACAGTGACTTCCTCAAGAAATAATCTGCTTTTGTTGGATACCTCGGGGCATTATAAATCTGGGTCACTTCTAATTCTAAAGTTGGGCCCTGCAAGTCATGTAGTAGTTCTGGGCTGCAAACCTACACAAGATGTCATGCAGGAAATTACCTTGATGTAACTAAGGCCTGTGAGTACCCACGCCAGGCAAACTATCCCAGAGGTCACAGAGCAGAAGGCTCATGGGCCATAGTAAGATGCTCAAATTGCATGGTTAATTAAACCGATCACGCTCTGCAAAGGGGACGAAATGAGATAGCTTGTCACACTCGGGTGGGGTTGGGTAGGTTGTCACACTTAGGATAAAGTGCAAGTAAATGAAGGGATCACTTGAATCCTGGGTTGTACAGTCTTCATATGGCCTGACTCAACCTGCTGCAAAACCCTTTCGTGATGGTGTGGTTTCTAGAGCCCGACTTGAGGTTTGAGTAATGGGCAGAAGGTTCTGGTGGCCGGCACACACCTTTTCTGTATTGGGGCGATGCAGGAGTAGGTTAAGCCTGGCCACAGCTGCAACTTTCCAGTTAATCTGATGAGCAGCCATGGATTTTATTTTTTTGAGCCGGAATAAGTGTCACCAATAGATGGTGAGCTTCAGACCTCATGAATTTTGAGTATTGTGTGCATCATTATTTTGTGTATGATATTTAGTATTTAGATGATTCTTCCTTTTCTATGTTCAGCACACATAAGCTCTACTTACTGTATCTATAGCTCAACATGTCTCCTGGTTACTAACGTACTTATCCACACTTAACATATGTTATGTGTTCTGCCCATGCCTCACAAGCTGTTTAGTATCATTTATCTTATTTGTTTCTTTCCCTTTTATCCTGCAGCAGATTTGAATATTTTTAAATTATCCTGCAAAAGCAAATTACATGAGGGATGGCTTATGATTCTGGATTCTTAGGTGGGCTTGTTCTTTTGGTCTTCTGCTTAAACCTAAGGTTTCAGACAATTCTAGGCTAATTATACTGAAGATATATCCCTTTGGCATCTCAGCCCTATGTAGCCTGTCTTCTATTTAGGACGGTGGGTGGATTCCTTATTGGGCATACTCACTCTTCTGGGTTCCCATCCTTTACTTAATAACTCAGCCTGCGTGTGAATTTGCTTCTTGCCTGCCAGTTCATACATTTATTCAAGAAGGTTTAAATTATTTTTGTGATCAGCATCTTTTATTTTTTTAATAGAAAGATTTCTGGCACCTAATCCACCACTTTTCTTAAGTAGAAGTCCTGCTTTTAGACATTTTTCAATGGATTGTCAGGTTTTAGCTAATGATTATCTATGGCAGTGGTCGGCAAACTGTGGCTCCCAAGCCACATGCGGCTCTTTGGCCCCTTGAGTGTGGCTCTTTCACAAAATACTGACTTCTGCGCATGGGCCACGAAGTTTCAATCGCACTGTACATGCATGCCCACACGTGGTATTTTGTGGAAGAGCCACACTCAAGGGGCCAAAGAGCCGCATGTGGCTCGCGAGCTGCAGTTTGCCGACCACTGATCTATGGGACTGGGAAGAAAAAGAAACAAAGCAAATAAAAAGATTGATTAAACTTCATTTCAGACTATATTCCAATTCTACTTTTTTCTCCATAGAGTATATACACATGAGACCTGATTATCTGTATCATAGAAATTCTTCTCTTTTTAATCTCTCACTTTTACTGAAAAAATTAATGTAACAAAACATGTTTGCTACATTATAATCCCATAGCAGTATTGCAAGGTAGTTTTGCCTTCTGACCCAAACTTTCCAGAGTGGAATAAAAGGGGAGACTGTGGGTGTAATCAAGAGGCTGAGTGAGATTCTATTTGATGGATTAAGAGCCAAAGATAAGGTTCTAGTGCTGATGTTATGATTAACATTTGTGTAATCCTGGTCTGTAGGCAACTGACTTAAACATTATGATTTATGTTATTATAAGCTTCAGAAGTAAACTGTTGACTACACATGTTTTCTGTTTTACAGTTATGTTTCAATAATGAGTTGGACCTTAGGGAGAGGAGAATGTGCATTTTTAACCTCAACGAGAATAGCAAATATTGATTGTTCTAAAACCTACAATTGTATCTGTGTGAAGAACAATGTTGTTAATGACATTCATTAACTACTAATGAACATACTAAGAGGAAAAGGTAAAATGGAATTTTGCCATTTTTAGTGTGTTTCCTGTAATAATCTGTAATTACTTAACAAAGTAATGTTTTTGACTTCAGAACTTAGTCCACTGCAGAAGCAGAGATGAGCTGGAAGGGAAGAAAATGCTCTTTTGGACAATGATTTGAGAGATCAAATGTCATTGGTCTTCTTGGATAAGGGGAAGATTTTGCTTTTGGAGAATAGTTACCCGTCTCTTTAATGGACCTGTGGAATTTTTTGTTTCTCTTTCTTGGAACTACACACAGAAACAATTAGAAAACTCATAAATACCTGGTTTTTTTCCTTATTTGTAGGATAAGTCATTGCAATACCTCTGATTTTGAGAGATAACACAATTAAGAATTAAAAAATAGTTATCTTCCCCCTATCTAGATGCTTACCTCTCATCTTTAAAAATATATTTTGCTATAATTTCAAACTTACTGAGTAGTTAAGACAATAGTATAAGAAACGCTCATCTAACCTTTACCCATAGTTACCATTTGTTTATATTTTACTATCTGCACTTTATTACATGTTCTCTCTCTCTCTCTCCTTGCTGATTCATTTGATAATAAATTAGGAACATTATGTCCCTTTGTCTAAATATTTTACAAAAACAGGAACTTAGTCTTATATAACCATAGCACAATTATCAAAATCGGGAAATTTAGCATTGATATAGTACTATGCTTTTGTCTACAGTCCATATTTAAATTTTGTCAACTGTTTCAACAATGTTATTATAGGTGTGTTTCCTTTATATTCAGAATCATGCAATGTATTTAGTCCTGATGTCTCCTTAGTCTCCTTTAATCTGGGACAGTTCTTCATGCTTCCATGGACTTTCTTGACCTTCACATTAAAAAAATAATCAACCTTATTGAGTTATACTTTGCAGGCAATAAAATGCACCCATTTAAGTCACAAGGTCAGTGGGTTTTTGACAAATGTATACACCTCTTCAATGCCATCAAATCAAGATATATAACATTTTCACCATCTCCAAAAGTTCCTTTTTGCCCCTTTCCGCCCACCTGGACCCAGGCAAGCAGTGATATGCTTTCTGTCACTATAAATTAGTTCGCCTATTCTAGAATTTCACACTTTATGTACTCGTTTTTGTCTGAATTTTCTCAGCATCTGTTTGAAATTAGTTTTTCTCCTATCAGTAGGTTATTCTTTTTGTTACTGTGTAGTACTCCATTGTACAGATAGACCACAATTTGTCCATTCACCTATGAGCATTTGATGTGTTTCAATGGTCATTTGACTATTATTAATAAACCTGCCATGAACATTTATGTGCAAGTAACTGTGTGGACATGCGTTTTCATTTCTTTTTATTAAACACCCAGGAGTTGGTTGCTGAGTCCTATGGCAAGGGCATGTTTAATTTTATAATAAACATCTAGATTGTTTTCCAATGTGGTTGCATCATTTTACCTTTGCAGTAGCAACAAATGAGAGTTCATTTGTCTCCATGTAATCGCCAAAGCTTGTTATTGTCAGGCTTTTAAATGTCAGCCATAACAACAGGTGTGTAGTGGTATCTCATTGGGGTTTTCATTTGTATTTCCCTGAAGAATAATGATAGTAAGCATTTTTTCATTTGTTTATTGCATTTTATATATCTTTGAATGTGAAGTATCTATTCAATATTTTGCCATGTTTCTTTTTAAAATTGGTTTTCTGTCTTCTTATTGTAGAATTATGGGAGTTCTTTATAGAATTTGGATACAAATTCTTCGTTAAATATATGTATTACAAATACTTTCTCCCAGTCTTCATGTTGCCTTTTTCACTTTCTTAATAGTGCCTTTCAAGAGGTGAAGTTTTAAATTTTTTGATGAAGCTTAACATATCATTTTTTCTTTTATTGTCCTAAGAAATCTTTGCCTATATCAAAATCACAGTGATTTTTGTCTTATGTTAGCGTCCAGAAGTTTTATAGTTTTAACTTATACACTTAGATAGTACACATTTCAAATTATTTTTTGTGTGTGTGAGAAAAGGGAAGGGGTTCACTGTTATTCCATATTGAAATCCAGTTGATTTGTACTACTGTTGAAAGACTTTCCTTTCCTCTATTGAATCACTTTGGTGCCTTTGTAGAAAATTAATTGGGTCTACTTCTGCATTATCTATTCTGTCTCAGTGATCTATATGTCTATTCTTATAGTAATACCATACTGTCTCAATTCTGTAGCTTTACACTATGCCTTGGAATAAGATATGCTAATCCTCTACATTTGTTCTTTTTCAAAAGTATATTGGCAATAACAAAAAAATAAACAACCCAATTAAAAAATGGGCAGAGGTCCTGAACAGACATTTCTCCCAATAGACATTCAAACAGTGAACAGATCCTATAGAATAAAAGCCTAATATGCTAAGTGTCTGGTCATCCAGTTGGCCATTCAACCAATCAAAGCATAATATGCTAATGATATGCTAAGACCCCTCAACTGCTTGCTATGATGTGCACTGACCACCAGGAGTCAGACTCTCTGACCAGTAGGTTAGCTTGCTGCTGGGGTCCAGTCAATCGTGACTGAGCGAGACGGGCCGGACATGCCCTGGAGCCCTCCTGCAGTCCCTCCCTGGCTCGCCAACCTCCGGCGTCCCTCCGAGGCCCTGATCGTGCACCAGTGGATCCCTTGGCCTGGCATGCACACACTCGCAATCCAGGAGCCCTCGGGGGATGTCAGAGAGCCCCCGATCCTGCAGACCAGGCCAAGGGACCCCACTGGTGCATGAATTTGTGCATCGGGCCTCTAGTATATGATAAGATGCTTACCTTCACTAACTATTAAGAAAATGCAAATCAAAACTACAATGAGATTCTACTTCACACTTGTTAGAATGGATATTATTAACAAGATAACTATTAACAGTGTTGGAGAGGTTGTGGACAAAAAGGAGCCCTCACTCACTGCTGGTGGAAATGTAAACTGGTACAGCCATTGGGGAAAGCAGTATGGATGACCCCCCAAAATTAGAGTTACCATATGAACCAGCAACTCCTCTTATGGGCATCTATCTGAAAAATTTGAAAACCTTTATTTGCAATGATATATGTACTCCTATTTTCATTGCATCATTATTCACAGTGACCAAGACAATGAAACAACAGAAGTATCATGCCTCTCTATAGATGACTGGATAAAGACTATGTGGTACCTATATACAATGAAATACTACTCAGCCAGAAGAAAAGATGAAATATTACCATTTGCGACAACATAGATGGATCTGGAGAATATCATGCTAAACGAAATGTCAGAAAGTCAAGAACCATATACTTTCACTCATATGTGGGATATAAAACTGAAAGCAACAAATGAACAAACAAGAAACAAAAAAACAAAAACTCATCGACATGACAACAGTACAGTGGTTGCCAGAGGGAAAGGATGGTGGGGAGGGTAGTGAAGGGTAGAGGGGGTTGACTGTATGATTGTGGAAGGAGATTTGACTTTGGGTAGTGGAGACAAAATGCAATACACAGATGATGTTATAGAATTGTACACCTGAAACCTGTATAATTTTATTTACCAATGTCACTCCAATAAATTCAATTAAAAAATGGAGAAGCTTCCTTTGGATACTTGAAAGGAATAATACCTACTACTTTTAGTCACATAACAATGATTTAAAAAAATAAAACACGTGATGATTTGCCAAAAAAAAGCATATTGACTATTCTGGAATCTTTGATTTTCTCAAAATTTCTTTAAAAATGCTTGATTGGGATTGCATTGAATCTGTAGATTAATCTAGGAGAATTGATGTCCTAACAATATTGACTATTAAAATTCATGAACATGATTTATTTTTCCATTTAGTTAGGTCTTTAATGTCTCTCAACAATGTAGTGCATTTCAGGATATAGATCTTATATGTATTTTTAAAAATTTATATTTTTGATGCTGTTGTAAATGACATTTAATATTTTTTCAAATTATTTGTTGTTGTTTATAGAGATAAAGCTGTTTTTCTGTAAATTATCTTAACTTATTATTTCCAGTAGTTAAAAAAAATTCTTTGTAGATTTCAAAACTAGGAGGGTCCAAATCTAAAGCTAATAGGTGGGACTATATATCACTTGGAGGCCTGATATTTGAAGTGGATACAATGACTACTTGGGTTTTGTATTGTATTGAAAATTCTCCTACCCTTCTAGATTCTAAGACTAAATTGAGATGAGACAGATTAACAGGCCAAAAACCACATTTAATTATATATGAAAGGGGGATCCATCAGAATATGAAGTCAGGCAATCAAAGCTGATAGCTATTCTAAGCGAAGATGAAGGGCATAGGGGGTCTGGGACTTCAAAGTAGAGGAAAACAATTTATAGCCAAAAAAACACATGTTGTTGTTTTTTATGAAGCTGTGGCCAGTCTGAAAATGTACCATCTTGTACTTCCTGAAAAAACAAATGTTTGGTAAACGAATGTCTGTCATGTACAGACAATGGGACACAGAGAGGACCTGGTCCTGTCAAGCTATCCCCACCCCTCCTCCTCCCC